GGACTGGCACAACCCAGCCGATTGCCAATTACAGAGTGGTGTAAGGCTGCACTCCAGGCTATAACGGGAGGCTAATTATACCTGCTAGAGGAACAATCTGTTATTAAGGCAGTGGAAAGAAGCCTGGATAATTAACTCGGCAGATTCTCAAGTTCTGCTGTGATGCTCGAGTGATGTTTGTGGGCATTTATCTCTTTTCTTTTCTTTTCTTTTATTGTGGATATTAAGATTTTAAATCACCCTTGACTGCTCAGGTCATTTCAATCAGCTCGACCTTGTGAGCTCAGAAGCTTGTGATTTCTGCAAGAAAAGGGCGGCTCCGTGCACACCATCCAGTGAAATTTAAATAGATCTGAAAATGCCATTGCATGCATTCTCTTAACGATGGCTTGAATTAACGAAAGAATCCAGCATCGGGACAAAAAAATCTACAAATCCGGTTTTCATAGGGGAAATTAACATTCACGTAAGTGACTGTAATTTATTTTAAAAGATGGGAAAATCAGTCTGGATGTCTTGAACTTGTGTTTCAATGCCAATGTTGTATTGAGCAGAAAAATACTAATCCAGAAGCGTTTCAGTCGTGTTCATGTGGCCCAACACATCAGTCTATGTCATGTTTTATACTATTTCTGACTAAATCAATGGCACCTATGCTGTTTGCAGCAAGGTATGGCATTCATCTTTAAATCCTTCAGCAGAGGATGTCTTTTCAAAAACAGTTCTGCACAATTGACAAAATTAAGAATACTGTTAAGAATGTCGTGTAAATTATTCTTAACAATGACATAATCAATTATGATGACCATTCATACTGTAGAGAGAGGGTGCTAAACGTGTGACAGTGCCTACCTCTTCACGTCGCACATCATAACCACACTGCGTGTTGACGACACCCTGTTAAGGAAAAAAACGAGAAGTGAAATCTAATGCTAATGTCTCTCAGTTCCTTTTTCAAATTTTACAGTTACATGACTTTGCAATTCAAAATGTGACCAGATGGTTCACGTAAAAGACAGCGCTTTACCAGAAATGCAATAAAAACCCCTTCATCATGGGTTCAGTGTTTGCGGTCCCGGTATATCACAGACTATTTAGAAGTGTTATTAATTTAGTATTTTTGCCATTTAATCGTATTTTGCTGCGTCTGGATTTAAATCCTGTGTGTCGTGAAAAAAATATCCGCATGTACTGACTCAGCCAATCAGAGCGTCGCTATCGTTTTGACACCCGCTGATTGTGTTCTGTCAGTAGACACAGCGCGCTGCTCGCCTTGCTGATTGACTTCCGTATTTTACCTTTACTATACTCTGTATAGAACGCAATATTAGCGGAATGGCATCCTGATGTTGGTCTGCAAATGCAGTTCCAAAACAGAATTGGCAGAGCCACCCAGGGAAACAAGAGAAGAAAGAAAGCTAGCCAACAACTGCCTACAATCATGATAGCAACAAGGAAAAAAAAAAAAAAAAAAAAAAACGTCACAGGTGAATAAGGGCTGAGATCGAGTTAATGCGCAGTTGTACGACATGCTCATGCAGGCGGAAGGAACGTTTGATGGTCAATTTTAACATGTGACAAGTTGGTCAATTCTTTCCAAAAAAAAAAAAAAGACACCTTGATCTCTAAAGGAAATACATGAAAACAATGTTCGAAAATCACATGCATTGAAATGAATACCATCTATCCATTTCCTGAACCTATTTATCCTCACAAGGGAGCCTAACCCAGATGTCTTCCGGCAGTAGGCAGGGGACACCGTGAACCGGTTGCTGGCCAATTGCAGGGCAGACATAGGCAGACAACCGTTCACGTTCACAATCAAACCTAATGACAATGTAGAGTGTTCCATTAACCTACCACGCATGTTCTTGGAATGTGGGAGAAAACCGGAGTACCCGGAGAAAACCCACGCAGGCACAGGGAGAACTTGCAAACTCCACGCAGGCAGGCCAGAGCCGGAATCAAACCCTGCACCTCTGCACTGTGAGCCGGACGCGCTAACCAGTCGAACACCGTGCCGCCCATTCATATATGGTTAGTTTTATTAACGTAAGATATCATTCTATATCGCAGATTTCACTTATTAGGGCGGTGTTCTGGAACGTAACCCCCTGTAATGAAGGAGGATTTATTGTTCTCTGAGGTCAAACAAGATGTCACATGAGATACAAGCAAATCTCACCCTGTACATGTTTTATAGTATTTACATTTTTTCTGTTTGTTATTTTGTCCGTTTTTTTTCGTCAAAGTTTTATGGAATGACTCATTAATTCAATGACCATTCTTACTTAAAACTGAATTGAAATATGAACGAAGTGAGTGGAAGTGAAACGCAGAACAGATGGTGTTTGACCTCAGAGGGACCACTGTACTAAATCTATGGTGCAATAATTGGTTTCAGTGCCTCACCACAGGGTCTTTGACACAGCAAGACAAAGGGACACCACAGCGCTCCCTGCTGTGGTTCTGTTCAGTGCAGTTGAAGTACATGTTCAAATTCCAGTCATCAGGCCCGTGAGCGCCACAGCATGACCACTAAGAAACAAACAAAAGACAGAAATGTAACTGACAATTAGCGAACAACCAAGAGACATGGATTTTGTTTGATCTGGTCTTGGAAAGGCTCTGAGGCAGCCCGAGTTCTGCTTGCGTGGGGTGGCAGCTCACGGTGGCAAAGATAGCGGCTCCAGATAACAAACAAAAGAAACGCTAATCGGCTTTATGTAGAAACGAAGCCCATTGTTTTTACATGGGAACCAATTAGCCCTGCCACCTCTTATAATTGGATAATCACAATTACATTCACTTTGACATTTATAGCAGACCGGTCCCCTCTGTCCAGAACATCTGCCTCCAAATAAGACTTCAGAAAAGCGGGACATCTGTGTGGACAGTAGTTTTCGGCAGCAGCCTTACATATCCCTGGGCGAAGTCAATGAGATTCTGCAAGTCGATGTCATCGCGGTAAGCCTTGATATTATTGTTAATGAAGAAGTTGAGCTGGTCTTTGATCCAATCCTTAAAGACGAAGGCAAGAATTCCTGCGGCGAGTTCCAGGAAGAAGATCAAACCCAGGAACACGGAGAACTAAAAAAGGTCACAAGTGGTCAGTACAGATGGAGAGTGGTAGGGCTGCACAATACATCAAAAAAATAAAAATATCGTCAACGCAATAAAATCCCTGTGCAATATGCTTATCGCAAGGATGTGCAAGTCGACCTGTATGCTTTTATCTGACTTCAATCAGATGCAACCTTAGATCAGGTAGGAGAACAGTATTTAGGGGCATCATGACCACGAAATAGTATAACTTCAAAAATTGTCTCTCTCCCGTTCCTTCTCTCTATGTATCCCTCTCTCTCTAGACACACACACACACACACACACACACACACACACACACACACACACACACACACACACACACAAAATGGCAATTTATTACGTTTGATGAGCTAAGAATGAACAGTTTAATGGATTATTTAATATAAATTGGTTGTTGTAGCTCAAAGATTGAAAGTTTTACACCCGAATCCACGTGACGTGATCGGTGTCATTATTGGCCGATCACACTCATGGATGATCGGAATCGGTATCGGCAGCTTAAAACTCATCGGAACATCGCTAATAGCGGTAGTCAACACCACCCCTATCGCATGTCGCATGTTTTTCCATTTTTGTGCAGCCCGAGTCAGTACCATTTAATATTGTATAATTTTACAAGCAGTGTTAGTCTGATGGTCCTGTTGAAGGCTCAATTTGCTTGGCAAAAAGTGCAGCCCCAGAGGTAGCATTAAATCATCCCTTTACAGTAAACGTAGGTGGAGACAGGCTAATGATTAATGTAGCAAAACCCTATTAGCTCCTCTCTCCGACGCCTGACTTACTGCTGCTAATGGAAATCGGCTGGAGGTAATAGCTACTCAGGACTGCAGAAAGCAGGTTTGTCTGCATCAGCTGTCAGTCGAGCCAGAATACATCCCCCAAAATGTAGGGTGTTGATTTGGGCTTTAAAACTATTCGACTTTATTTCCACACCAAAAGGCACAGAGCAACGTGAGGATGTTCAGATCCGTATTCTTTGATCTTTGGCAGGGAGACAGCATGTTTTTGGGGTTTTTTTTTTGTGATGACTATGTTTGCAGCTGATACAGTATGAATCGAACATCGATATAAATCAGGATGTATTGTATATACATCCGCTTCCACAGATGAGAAACAGAAACAAATTGGGCCTATTATAAATTAGGGCCGGACAAGTATGGGAATAATAAAAATCACGAGGGCGGCCCGGTAGTCTGATGGTTAGCGCGTTGACCTCACAGTGCAGAGGTGCAGGTGACTTCGGCAGCCTCTGGTCTGGGCGTGAACTACTCTTCTAAAGGAGGGCTCAAGTGGTTAGACTAGTGTGTGTGAGTGTGTGTGTGTGTGTGTGTGTGTGTGTGGTTGCGTGCGTGCGCGTGTGTGTGTGTGCGTGTGTGCGTGTGGCCTTTGAAAGCGATGAGGCGGCTTACAAATTTAAGCAGGCGCGTGTTCTCCCGCAGTGCTCCAATGCATCCAGCAAAGCCCAGCACGAACATGACCCCGCCGACAACAATGAAGAGCCAAACAGGGTCGAAACCCCCCAGATCTGTGATGGATGACAAGTTGGACAGCACGCCCTGAGGGAAGAGGAGGCAAATACAACAGTGAAAATGATATTTCCATCGATTGAGACATCCCACCGTTTTCTTTGGGATGTCAAAGAGAAATATTTAAAGCTCAACTTATGACACAGATAAAACTCAAAAGTGCCCCCCCCTGATCGTATCTGTGTGCCCTGCGATCGGCTGGCAACCGGTTCAGGGTGTCCCCCGCCTACTGCCCGAAGATGACTGGGATAGGCTCCAGCCCCCCGCCCTCGCGACCCCTTGTGAGGATAAAGTGGATGGGAAAATGGATGGATGGATGGATAATAATAATCATGATTATTTTGATTGAGATTGAAATCACGATTAATAAAAGCATTATTCCCCCCCCCAAAAGATGTGGGTTGCATTCTGAATAAAACAATACCCCAGTCATTGCCTTTATTATTTTAACTGCCATATTTGGATCCATCTGACAAAGCTGTGAAAAAAAGTGGCATTTATCAGGAGCACAGTTCACAGGTTTCTGCCAATGTCCACAAACGTATCCTTCCTCTGCACATCCTGCCCAAACCGGTCATGCTCCACCTTACAGTATGCTTTCCCTGTCACTAAACTCTTTTAGAGTGAATGCAGTGTTTCTTCACACTTTTGTATAAATGTCAAAGAGTGCCATTTTACAGTGATATAAACAAGTGGAAATATAATCCGCTACACTCCCTGTTTTTAATTTGTAATTAAGTAGACTACAAATTCATGGTTGAAGACAGCCAAAGTTGTTCCATCAGGCATTTTCCAAATTATTATGATTTGGCAATGCACCGTAAGAATTGTTTTCCAAAATGATCAGATTTCTATTCAGGTCAGTTCAAATGACTTGACAGAAAAATTTGATAATATTATGTTGTGATTCAATTTACTGATGATACTAGTGTCAATGCAATCCATGTGACTGTGTACATACATCTACTGATGCCTATCTGGACACATCATCAGTGATGTATTCCTGAGATCATAGGGCGTTTCGGGTCTCTCAACATCATACGCCCTCCCCCAGGTGACCCAACCAGGGCTGATCAGACCCCAGCTTGTGTCCAGATGGCTAACTAGCTACCATGACTGCATTATTCAGTGACTTCAAAACGTGATATTTATTCACCTACTAAAACTCAGCTACTCAAAACTACTATACTATAGCCTAATGCCCATTCATCCCTCCACATTGAATACTTTATTCTCATTTTTGGCAAGCACACAATGACCTTGTATTATCATGCGAAATTCAAGCCTGTTGCATTCAATGTTCCTTCTAGTTTTCCATCCCTCTGAGCATTCAAGCATTGAACAACATCTGAGCAACATCTGACACGCACACGGCGGCCAAACCCTTATCACACCTGTCCAAAACCTGCAATCAAGGAATGTGATGTAGTACGTTATGAAAAAAGGAACATTACCTTCATTGCAAACTAGAACATATCATCGATTGGAGAATTAAGACACAAATAAGAGTGGCCCAACTTACTTTTATTATAGCACAAGGAGTATTTTCAGCATAATTAATTCAGTCAGTGTGTATAACTATGGTCGCATCTTGTCCACCCATCAGTAATGGAAAACATGGCATTTAATAAAAAATAAATTTAAAAAAGTCCTAGTCACCTGATATTGGAAACGCGCGAAAGAACCTCATTGAAAGGGCGTGTAAACTCCGTCCATATTTGGACTTCCTGAATGGAGTGGTCCACGCATCGCCTGTGGCCTCTCCTCTGAGGTGAGTGTGAGTGAATGCGTGTCAATACATCAAACTATCGTAGAACAACTGAGTGCACACCCTCGGTCGCAGTACTGAAACTGTAATGGAAGTGGGAATAGTCTGGTGTCCTGTTTGGCGATTAAAGTGCGGTGGAAATGAAGAGTGTAGAAATGTAGTGTGTGTGTGTGTAGTGGGCCGAGAGGGTGAGAGAAGTGCGCAATTGCTCACGGGCACAACTTAGTGCTTGCCTTTTCATTCTGCTGGATCCACACTTCTGATGCCTTCCATCTTTGCACACATTGAAACAACGAATAAGCATCTGGCTTCTCTGTTTATCATATTGTGTTTTTGTTCTATCTTTACTTTCACAGGACTTGGGATGCACTGGGCTAACCTGGGACTGCAGGTATTATATTTCATACCACATCATGTTGAAATTTGTGTTGGTGAAAAAGTCCTAGGAGCTTTGTATCCTTGACTTTTGAACCCTTGAATCTATGAAAACTCAGTTGAAATATACGTGTAACTTCAAAGGACAACGACAACATAACTACTAAAATAAGACTGCTCAAAAAAAAAAGAAAAAAAAGAAAACAATGAAAGAGAAACACCATGCTGTATTAAAACAAACACGGTCTGCTCCTCCTGTGCACACATTGGGCTCTAGGGGGTGGTGTGGCGATGTGCATGCATGGAGAAATGGAGTACAGTCAAACCTCGATTTTCGAACGTCTCTGTTCTCGATCAAATCGGTTTTCGACTAAAAATTTCGAGTTTTTTATGCCTCGGATTACGACCGAAAATCGGTTCTCGACCAAACTGAGCGCACTTGAATGTGCCACTTGACTCCTCTGGCTTTCCTTACACGAGGTAGACGAGGAAGTGATGCTTCCTCGTGTCGCGTTCCATCATGAGCAGACGTGTTCAATAAAGATTTTTTTTTTAAAAAGAGCATGGTTTCGGTTTTCGAACAAATCGGTTGTCGAACAGCCTTCTGGAACGGATTATGGTCGAAAATTGACTGTACATGCTTACAAAGAGAAAAGAAGAAAGTTGTGATTCAACTGCATTAAAAATAACTCATTTTTCAAAGACTGGGAAGAAAATGTGTCGAGTCTTATGACACCTGCGTCAATGCTAATTTTGCGTTAGCATGTCAATGGGATTTTACATTGACTTTAGCAATAGTATTATCAATGTTTTAAAAATGAAGAGAATCCCATGTCATTCTGCACATTAATCGCTTTTCTTCAATTAGAATGTTTTGAAGAGTGACAAGCCAAATTTGATCATTCTGATTAATTGCCGAGCCCTAGTGTAAGATTTTGTGTGAACGCACAATTATAAAGGTCAAAATAGTGGCTTGTACATCTTCCCCTTGAATTCACAAAAACACTAAATGCGTTCAAATTGCTTTTAGCATTGGACTTATTCAATTCAATTGGTTGTTGGTCAGTTTAAAAGGTGAAAAAGATTCTCGTCAGATTTACACGGCTCTCACTTTTGACCTGACAAAAACCTGGCTTCCAACGGAGGTGTGACTCAACATTGAATGTATGTAACAGAAACCAGGAGAAATGACAAACCTATTGTTTTGGATGGTAGTATACATACTCAATTGGCATAACTCAGAAAACGGTGATCTCAGTATTCTCTTTATCTGTGTAGAACTCCGTTTCGGAGCGTCACGCAATCTAATAAGTGATGTCAACCCAACCATTCACAGGTTGCCACTCAGTCGCCAATTGTTTTAGTCAAATCCAGGGGACAGGAAGGTGACAGAATCCAAACCTTTAAGGTAGATAATGAGCCACAATAGTATTTTTCTATTCAGAGTCGGTGAGCTGAACAGTTTAAACACAGAAACATGCAAAAATGAAGGGGTGGGGGCAAAAAAAGAGAAATCAGTACATTCTCTTCAAAATCACTGGTAAGAATTACAGGTATTTGAAAGTGTTTTAAAATGGTAATGAACCATATTTATCCCTTAACCCTAATAACATGATAAGCTGTCCACTGTAGGAGTAACTGCTGTCCCAGAAAGGGTTCGTGTTCGATTTAGTATGAAGTCAATTTATTCTGGTGATATACTGTAGTTCAAGAAAAGCCAGGAGAAGATGAACGTGGCATTGCTCTTTGATTCTGTTTGAGTAGTTCCAATCAAAATAAAAATAATAATAATAATAACAATAATAATTTCATTTCAGCAACTGCTACTAAGGCCAAGGACGCGGAGATTGAATAGGTCCCTCTATCAGGGTCACAGAAAGGTTGTTATGGTTATTTTCCTTTACTTCATTTGTTTATTTCCATCATCATCTTTATGATTATTATTTGTTTTTTCATCATTATTATCATTAGGATGATGATGATTATCAGTATTGTGTGTTAGGCTGCGGTGAGGAATAAGACGGCCTTCTCGAGTTTAAAAACTGAGAAATAACAAATGCACACGATAACTAACCTGGGACTGCAGGTATTATATTTCATACCACATCATGTTGAAATTTGTGTTGGTGAAAAAGTCCTAGGAGCTTTGTATCCTTGACTTTTGAACACTTGAATCTATGAAAACTAAGTTGAAATAAAATAAGACTGCTCAAAAAAAAAAGAAAAAAAAGAAAACAATGAAAGAGAAACACCATGCTGTATTAAAACAAACACGGTCTGCTCCTCCTGTGCACACATTGGGCTCTAGGGGGTGGTGTGGCGATGTGCATGCATGGAGAAATGGAGTACAGTCAAACCTCGATTTTCGAACGTCTCTGTTCTCGATCAAATCGGTTTTCGACTAAAAATTTCGAGTTTTTTATGCCTCGGATTACGACCGAAAATCGGTTCTCGACCAAACTGAGCGCACTTGAATGTGCCACTTGACTCCTCTGGCTTTCCTTACACGAGGTAGACGAGGAAGTGATGCTTCCTCGTGTCGCGTTCCATCATGAGCAGACGTGTTCAATAAAGATTTTTTTTTTAAAAAGAGCATGGTTTCGGTTTTCGAACAAATCGGTTGTCGAACAGCCTTCTGGAACGGATTATGGTCGAAAATTGACTGTACATGCTTACAAAGAGAAAAGAAGAAAGTTGTGATTCAACTGCATTAAAAATAACTCATTTTTCAAAGACTGGGAAGAAAATGTGTCGAGTCTTATGACACCTGCGTCAATGCTAATTTTGCGTTAGCATGTCAATGGGATTTTACATTGACTTTAGCAATAGTATTATCAATGTTTTAAAAATGAAGAGAATCCCATGTCATTCTGCACATTAATCGCTT